ACGAAAGTAGTATACATTCAACAAAGACGTGCGTGCAAACAAGTTACATCAGGAAAAGCCAAATATCATATAACGAATAACAAAAGTCACTGATTCGATGAGTCCTTTCACCTCTGCCCCATCAAGTTCCTTTATGTGATGGAGAAAGGAAGCAACATGAGATTGTGACAACACGCGTACACTGATATATTTAAATTGTCATGCAGGATTTTGACCATGCTCTAGTACACACATGTCTGTCCCACACTCTTCCTGCTTCAAAGTAGTGCTTATCTCCTAAATTTGCTAACCTGGTAAAGCAATATCATGACGAATTAGTCTACTAAAAGTCATTGATGAATGAGGTTAATGAACCGAATGCTAACTGGGGTCGTCTCAAATGTGCCATGGAGAATGCGTTTGACGCCTGCTGTGGAACCAACTTGAGACGTCGTAACTGTGCATAGAACGTTGAGGGATGGATCGGGTTTGCTCAAAGCATGGAAACAAGTTCCAATGTGCCCTTAGTTTCGGCTTGTCCGTAACTTCTGAAACAATGTCTGACAAATAGTCTTTGAATCGATCGGGAACGTTGGTGCTTGGCAACGGTCGGTGCGAGAGAGAAAGTCAGTGTTTTTGGGAACAGCCAAATGCTATTCCACCTCATACAAAACTCGGGTCCATGGAAGTCATAATTTAGTGAAACAAGTACTAAGAAAGATGGACAGTGGATCCATTCTCCGTTTCGTCGATCAGCTCGCTGAGCGGAAGATTTTGAAGTGTATTTCGGCAAGCTTGTTGCGACACTGCCACTTACCGGATCACTAGAGCCGACGTGGGATGTTGGTGTCACGGCGCTCATTTTAAAAGAGATTCTAAAGGCACCTGGACCCATCGACCTTCAACAAGCTTTGATGGAAGATTTAGTTGGCTTCTTTATAACTGAACTTGATTCTCTATGAGATACTTATTGGGACACCGAAGAGATGTCTTCAGACTGGCGACCGTCCGTTGTCGTGCCCTTCTGCAAGAAGAGTCAAAGTACTTTGTGCGAAAACCATTTAGGAATTAGCCTTATATTTCCATTGCCTACAAACGTCGCACAGGGATCATCTTCGACGTCTTGCTGATGCCCGGGAGAACTGAAGCACTTGAAGCACTGGTTGTAGTTGCATGGACCGCATATTTACACTTTGCCAATTTTAGAGCAAAGAAGCATTAGCAAACGACAGCCTACAATGGTTTTTCTAGACATGGAAGCCGCCTTCGACTCCGCTGAACGCGCCAGCTTATGACTACCTATATCCATAAATGGCATGATAGCCAAATTCTTTTCCACTATGCAGTCTCACTAGTTTGATTTCCGGGGCCGTGAAGCGTCTACGGGAAACAATCCGTGTTCCTAAGGAGAAATAATATCTATCCGTGTTGACGTATATCTCCCTCCATCTTCTTCTTCAAATGTGTGATTGAAATGGTCCTTACAAACTGTACCGGAGTGGAAGTTATGTCATATGACCAAGCAACAATCCTGAAGTATACGAAGACATAGCCCATCTTGGGTCTGACACAGTGCCTATGCAAAAACTATTGGATAGGTTGATGCGTATCGATGCAACATCCGGTATCTGCTTTGCACTTACAAAGTGTAGAGTACTGTTGCAGGACTGACCCGGCACACCTCCGGTTCTAACTATCACTGGACAGCCATTGAATATGGTGCATCTGTTCACGTAGTAGCTGTATCACCTCTAATGTTCACATCACTGAGGTCAGTTGCGTATCAGCAAGGTCCGCGTGGATTTCCAAGCAATCAACCATCTATGGAGACGGCGGGATATCAACCCGTCCGCGAAAGGCAGGCTGTAAAACGCTGCGGTAAGCCCGGTCTTACTGTATGGATCAGAGACATGGTCAGTTCGCGTCGAAGACATTAAAAACTTGGCCGCCTTTGACCACCTGCTGCCTGCGCAACATTGCTCACATCTGGTTGGAACACTGCGTGAGCAATGCCAGTTGATTTGTCAAGAACACTCCTGGTGCCTTATTCAATTATTTACTGAATCTTAATCGCTTACGCTGGCCAGGCCATGTCCTCCAGGTACCCGTTGACCAGCTTCCTCGGCGTGCATTGTACGTCGTGACTTCTCCAAGTTGAGCGAAACCGCGAAGTGGCCAGTCGATGACAGCATAAGGGATGAAGAAACTGACTGAAGGAATTGGTTAGGCTGGTGTGTGCCATCATCGTGAATGGGGGCCTCAGGACCGTCCACATCGATGGTTGAAGACCGTATAAGATATGGCGCTGTCACGCAGTCAGCGGGATTCCTCTATAAGATTTCTTGTATCTATCCGTTAATTTTTACAACCTAATGTTTAGTTTACCGCACCACCTTCTTGCTTCCATCTTCTGTACATTCTATTTACATTCAAATTCATTTCCTTGACGTAGTTATTTATTAATTTTTTGGCGATGTGAGCCATGACAACTGGTTCCACCGCATGTCGGCGCTCGGATCATAGCTGTTCAACTATATAGGACTGAATTGTCTGTTCATACCTAATATCATTGTGCCCACTTCCCTTTCCGTTACGAAAGGAACCACCTATTGCCTATGAGAACTATGCCCACAACGTTGCGTTAGGCAGCCGATTTTAAGCAGTGACTTTGTTTTTCATTACTAATAGAAATTCCTCTCTTTCCCTTTGGTCTACGATGTACCATGAGTCCGTAGCAATAAAAACGTCCTGATGTCTTATAATCACGGTTTTAGCTTTATTCCACTGTTTGTTTCTTTTGTGAATTGCTTCTACCCAACATTTTCTTTCCGTAATTCTAGGTCTCATAACTATGTAGAAGTTGCAATACGAGATGAATTTTATTCGTATGATATCATCCGTTAGTATAAATTTGTACAAACAGCATACTGTCACCGAATACGAATCCCAGAAGATAATGAACCATTCCTTTCTACTTGCTGGCTAGCTTACACAAACCACTTAAAGATAAATCCATACTTTTCCTCAGTTTAAATGACTTCGTTAGCATGCAACATTGTTGATGTGCAGTAACGCGTAATTTTTTTCTATACGTATGACCACTCTCACCTATATCCACTGGCACGTTCCATACGACATTCAGTGATAAATGTAGAAAAACAGTGAGGGAATCAAACTGCCCATCCGATGAGGTGCAGAACACAGATTTCAAGCGGCATAGATGTAAGTCGACAGTTGGGTTATGGACATCTTGAACATATAAGTTATCGATTATAATGGTAAGTGAATCAAATTCTGCTACCAGATTAAACATTATGTAACTAATGAAATACACCCTGCGTGGAGGCAGTCGCCTCTTAATTGGGACAAATAAAAATGAAGTTTAATCACTGATTTAATATTGGACCCATGTAGATCAGCTACCTAGGATATGTTAGCCGAATTGCTAAACTGATTTTACTGCTCATAATCTACGGTTTTCAGTTGGCGCCAAACGATTACTTGCCTAAAGGGCAGTACGCGCGTCCACGTGACAGTACGCAAGGAAGCATGAGCAGCGTAACATACACCACGATACCAGTGAATTGGCACGCGTACATGACGCAAGTTAACTATTGCACCCAACTTCGTCAATAGTGAACCTCAAACCCCTATAAGACGTGGGTGGAATTTGCGGAGCATGGTAGAGATATCCTCCGCTCCACGTAATTAATCGTCCCGCAAGCAGCGCCAAAGAAGCAGCCAGTTTTTACAAATAGAGCAAGTTTTGCCGCTGTGTGCAATCGCAACTACTTTTGTAACGACTTTGAAGAAATTGTGGATCTTATTATTAAGCTTAGTGTCAAGTCTATGAGCTCGTTACCAGATATATAATGTGTATTCCTGTATTTCCCTTCGCCAGCCACTTACTTCTTGTCGCGAACAATAATACTGAGAGCAAATTTCGGAAGTCTTTTGCACATTACATTTTTGTGCTTATTCTCCCGTTTGGAAGCGAAATTATACACCTCCAGATCACAAGTATGAGTGTCATTGATTAGAAGATCATTTTGAAGTACACGTTGTGTGGACGGATTGCGACGTGCAATCTACATCTGAACCACCAGGCGTTGATCGTCTTGACCCGGTGACATGCGGGTATCGCTCTCAATTGACATTCCAATCGTCCCGGTTTCGATGCCTGTTATGTGCATCTGACGAGATCAAATGAGATGAACACACGTCATGGAGAGCAGAGGTTCCGGTCAGCTAACCACAAATTCCATCTATAACCACCATTGACACACCTGGAACATTGAGTTCGAACAGCATATAGTTCATGATTTTTGCCAGCCATAAGCTTTTATCCAACCTTTAGAAAACACATGTCACACAAAGAGGAAATAAACGACGCCTATAACAGCACCGGTTAGGTTGGAATAGAAATTCACCTTACCTTTCTGCTGGTTTATTCCCAACGACAAGCTTTTGTGTTAGTAGCTAACAATCTCGTTTAATTTACTGAAAGTCAGAAATTCGCTCATTTCGGACCCGCAGTTTGCTTATCAGCTTCTTAAATTTTATGAACCTATAAAGCTTGTTGGTTCTTTACTAATTAAAATCCTTAACAAGGAAAGTGTTATAAGTGTGCGAAGCGTGTGCTACCAAATGGATACATTGCCGTGATGTACAGCTACCTTTCTGTTAACGGACGTTCGGGATAATTTACTATGAAAGACAGCGAGTTATCAAAATAGTCAGAAGCCAACCCGTTAGATGGATCGTACAACAAGAGTCTAGCGTTTGTGTAACGGACACTTCGTTTTCTTAAAAGCAGCTCTATCTGTAACTTTTTCGCCGTGGCCAAGTAGGATTTTCGGTAATTCTTGTGCTGTAGCGCAAATTCGAGGCATTTTTAATCGCAAATAAAATAACGTACCATCGCTCAACTGACCAAAATTGTTTTACTGTTTTGTGCAACGGACGCGCTTCAAACATAATAGAGAAAGTGATAATGCTGGAGAAATAAAAGGATTACTAACCAATTTCGACGAATTCTTTGATCTCCTCTACAACAACAAGACAAAACGGAAGCATTGGATAGTATGCTTTAATAATCGTTACATTTTGGGTGGATGCATGACGTCCTTCGAAAGATTATCTTTAAAAATAAAGTATTGTCTTAGATAACTGAATATTTGGGCGCAATGCCATCTTTAGTAGTCATGGGTTGGAAGCTCGATTTTGAGCTCTGTTTCGCTTTGGCGGTTCAACCGTACCAAAAAGCTGTTACATATTACGACAATAACTATCAGGATTAGAATATGGTAACATGACGTTTGGCGTTACTGAGACGACTGGTTTCAGCCAAACCTGTCAGACAGCTAAAACACATTCTGCCAAACGCCAGACTGAGGACCTGTTTTGCTTGAGCTAAGCAGTAACGGTATCAATCGGATCTTTCTAAATTTTGAAGGATCCGAACCACTGAACGCAACCTTAAGGGACAGCTAATTGCGGATTGCCGAAATGGATCCCCAACTTCCACACAAGGCGATTCTTCATAATTTTGCCAAGCGTTTTCAAAAGAACATAATATAATGTATAAATCTGACAATTGAAAACAGACATTCATTTAAACCAGTCTGTGTTTAGCATTCAACATGAGGCAAACCCTGGGCACTTTTGCTCCGGAGTAATTTCTTTTGCATTTAAGTTGCTCGGCAAGACTCATTAAATTCCTGAGTCACGGCTTCATCGTAAAGAAAGTTTGGCGCATCCAGTTCCCACCGAACCGAATGGCAGCCATGGCACATATTAAAAAATAGCAACTTCGAGGACCTTTACGCTATCCGAGTACGATCGCATCAAATACCCTATCCTCACAGTGATCGATATGCATGTATTAAGTACCATTACCCTTGAATTTAAGTGAAACATATTGTAGAATGATCTGAAGCTCAAACTGCGAAACGATGCATTAGCCTCTGATTCGGAAAGGACAATTGGACCTTTAGAAATGCAGATGGAAGTGCGATGTCGGCGCTGACGTTCGCGCTGCGCTAGAGTCGTGAGACAGTCCTTTACAGCCTCCTGGCACTGGTTAGGCCTATGCAAGCGTCAGGTCTCACTGTACGTGCATTAATATCCTCCATTGGGTTGAGCTACATTTCGACTGCAAACCCTTCTGCGAAATACTGGCGGTTGTTCGTCATTGCGCTGTCACCAATCTTCCGCTGTTTCCCATACGCCTCGTGGTTGTTTGCCAAGCTAGTGCAGAGTGCATTTTCCCACCGTTTACTCCACCGTCGGGCTATTTTACCAAGTGCCTTGCGAAACCAGTGTGGTCTGATTAATCCGACCAGTGGACAGTTGTTGGGTGCAAACCGATGGCAACTCCAATTTACTCTCCATCCACAGTTGACTAAGAGGCATTAACAGATAAAACGTGAGGCGAAACCCGATCCACTTAATTCGTGCGTCGGGCTGAAACCTGAAATCACGATTCCATTAGTCTTATAATAATACCCGTAGACGATAATCTGGCAGCGGTGGTTCCGGGATGGTCATGAGTAAATGTGTCCACTTGCTGTCAGATGCATCGGGGATCTGACTCCCGTGAGCATATAGGTGGCATCCAGTTAACATTAATTACGGACACAAATGGATTGGACACAATTCTATGCACTAAATCTGTCTGCGTTCTTCCGCCTTCTTGTATCACTTTCTCTCACAGTCAAATATTTTATAACAATGCAAATATTTCATCTCCTATTGTGTTGTATTGATAAGCGATGGTCAATCTTTAATACCTCGGCGTTTATTTCAAAATCCGGCCACGACTTCTTGGGTCACATCTCGACTTGCCATTCAGATACAACTATGGTAAGCTGTTCATCATTATTGCTTACGTGACTGTAGACTTTGGCGAAGACCTCAGCAAGACCACAGGAGGAACATCTGAGCGTATCCGAAGCTTGAAAAATCGATTGATATTTACGCGGAGTACACTTGTTAAGGACACAGAAATATGCAGCGTGAAACTTGGTTCCGCCATTACCTGTATGTCACTTTCACTTATCTGTGCTAGCTTTAGTCCTCTTGGCTATGTTGTATTTAGAGCTGGGCGAGACTAATTTAACCTCGTGCAGGCTGACCTCAGCAATGGTAAGTCCCGATCGTTCTTTTATGCAAGTCCCCTAGAGATCAGCTGGGTGGAATTCGTCTTCACAATTACAAGCTGATTATAGTGGTTACAACGGCATTCATTAGCTACCATACAATAACTATCTTACGGCGCGGAACGCGTAATTACTTAACTTTGCGCGCCGACGAATGAACAGTGTAACGTGGACACAGGTAATCCAATTAGTTATCCGATGTGAAAGATCTTAACAGCTGAAAGCAAATTTTGTGTGAACGCGCGAAAATATCGCAGCAGCATGGTGGGAAAACTATAAAACACAGACCATAGTACGAAGCTACAGTTGAATTTGAAAATTTTGGCATACGCTTATTCGCTCCACACAATCTATAATCCTTCTTGCATCACAAAAGAAACGGACAATTTTCGGCAGAAACAGAGTGCTTCAAATGTACAGTGATTTGCGTCGCCTTGTGATATTACTGTTTCTTTTGGTTCGCCGTCAAGAATCATTCGCACATTGCCTGCTAGCATCTTTAATAGGCTGACGTACCGGTGGAGCCGCAGCTATCCACGAGTAGATACCAATAGTGCAAATCCAAAGGAAGTTACAACCAGGCACCTAGTTTGAAACTGTTTCGCAGGGGGTTCAACAGCGGTTTGATCATAAAATATTTCTTAGTGAATTGAAGAGTGGAACATGCTCAGGAATTTGCTGCCTAACTAGTTATACCAAAGAGACTTTGTTATAATAAGAACAGCAGCTTATTTAAACTATGTTTGCATCTATTCTGATTTTTAAGTTTGTGCCATAAACTCCTCCATTCAAATGCATAATCTCTTCTCGGGTTAAAAGTAGAAATCCTTGATTGCGTAAAGAAGTAAATGCTACAAGGGAAGCGGATTAATATAAGCACACTTTTTGCCGATCGTGAATTGTTCTCATCATGTCCTACTCGCTGTAATTTTTATTGATAATTAACGGAGTATTATGAAGAGGAATTCAGGCTTGAAGCCAGCACCATTGCAAAAGTTTCCGTGTTTTACAATTCATTCTCCACTATTAAATGCGTTTATACTCACCTTCGAACATCTGGCACATACCCTTATTGTTGCAGTTACTAACACGATTTCCGTATTTTCCTAATATAATATCACAGATTTCCTACAAAGTGAACTCTCTAAATTAAGAGGAATGTTTCTTGGAAACAAAGGACGGACCTGCTCTTGTGCCAGGAATGCAATCGTCAGGTGCGTGCGGAGTTATGCAACTTAGCTAATAGAACCAAATATACCCACACTGCTCTTGGTAGTAGTCAAAGTGCCCACTCAAGTGCTATGGTATTTTCATGTCTTCATTAATGATAGTTGAAAACCCATCTTGAAGCACTTTCAAGGTGAACGTCAGATTAAAATTATCACTCAATGTACAGCTAATTCGTGAACAAAGCCTATTTATATCATGTGTGTTGAACATTCATTAGTTGACTATTGGTGTAGACATAACGCCTTCAGTTCATACATCAAGCGAAGATGCCAGTATGTTGCAAAGTGGCGAATCATGTTTCAATAGCTTATATTACTGACAGTAGATTCCTACTATGGGTAAATAGTGAACTCGGAGAACCATTTGTGGCAGATTGTGGATTGTAGTAATAACACTCATCTATTGCTGAGAATGAAATTGCGAAGCAGGATTTATGTTTAAAATCATGATGAGGTCAGTCGTTTCGTTATTTGCTGAAAGTTGACCACATGATTAGAATAACCACGCAAGGAAGAGGTATCAGAAAATACAAGGTACGAACAAACTGACCTATCTCATTTGTACGTTCGGTTTCATCTACAATGCAGAGACAAGATGAACAGAATCACATGAAACACCGAACGCAATTATGCGGCAGAAAAACACCAATCCCAGCAGATTCTGGGGTTATACAAGGATTTATCCTAACCTCCTTTCTGTTTTCCCTCTATGCTGCTTTTTTGCATATACTAACCAATTTCACTGGGTGTAACTACGCTGATGAGGTCGCCATAGGGTGCATAACCCCAACTACTGAGGAATCTTCGAAACTCCAGCGAGGATTAGACGAACCCTTGACTTGGTCACCATCACGTTCCCCCTCTCTTAACCCTTTTGCTTGTTGTGATACCTCATACTCTTTTCTCCGTCCCGACAGACTGTGCTCTTTTATATATCCTTCTCCACTTTTGGTTGCATGTGACCAAAGCATCCCACGTTCATTTTCCATAAAGTACCACACTGTTTTCTTCTATGGTGTAACAGGGGATGAAGAGCATAACTTTACAAGACTCACAGGATGAATATGCAAAAGAAAACTAAAATCAAACTGTTCCAAAGTGGTACGTGAAATATCAGTGGTTAAGCTATTGACTTTATCAAACTGGTGTGTAGCGTTTATCACTGAGATGGTAGTCTAATAGTCATTCGAATGTCCTCATGTCTGGTGCGGTCACCACATAGGTTGGTACTGCATTCCAGCAGGAACAGATTTGAGGTGAGTAAAGATACTTTCCACAAATCTAACGGCAGTGTTACCTCATTAGTGCCAGATGGTTGCGTCGGCATCGTTGGGAAAGCGCTAGGGTCAACAGTAATGTACATGGATGCTCGCTTTCAGTTAGTATCCGGCATGCGAGAATGAGATCTCCGCGAAGCTGTCGGTATCCTGAGGAGAACACACCGAGTACACAAAAAAGCAGTTCGCAACTTAGATAGGATAGTCCGCGCTTGGCCCTTTTGGCTCCTCCTTGGGGTTGCTCCAATAGGCGAATATCGCCTTAAAGTCATGGAAACCAGGCCTGAATTGCATATTCAACGTGAGGACGGATATAAGTGTTAATCAATATTGGTATTCGCCGTCTCTCAAAGATGCCGAGATCTCATTTCAAAAGCCTCACGTTCAAGTTCGCCACATTCTCTGCTTTCTAACAGGGAGCGAAATGCCAGTGCTTCCTTGCATGATTATACCTAAATCGCGTTCACTAGCCACGTGCTGTAGCACGTGTTGCCCCCAAAAATAGATGTTGACAATGCTGCTGCGCACTGTCAGCAAGTGGCACTTTGCGGGGTTCAGTGGGAGCTGGTTTGTTTCTGCTCATTTGTTGATCCAAGCCAGATCATCCCGAAGATAGACACAGTCGGATGCTGAGCGAACTGCTCTCCATATTTTAGCATCGTCTGTAAATATTTGCATATGCTTGCAACTTTTCAAAAAGTATGATGACTATCCTTTTACTCTCTTAGGCTCAAAATGCTCTCCGTACCGCGTGCTCTAGTTTTAAGGTTTGTAAATGCGCGTATTCTACCCCATTGGCTTTACTGTTCCCCTGTTATTTTCCCCGGATTATTTCAAATGGATTATCCTCTTCTTGTGAGCTCAATGAAATTGATTGCCAGATGCTCTGGATTAAGAAGAGAAACCCTGGTTGTTTTTGTGGTTAACCAGCATTTTGATTAATGCCTCGAATTCTCATCCGAGATCCTAAAAGCCCCCTCACAACCCCTACACGCCGCTTTAGCTATTTCGGAATCCACTACTTCAACGCAGTCGAAATTTAGGGTTTTGTTTTTCCCCACTTCTTCATTGGCGCAACTCCATTTTGCCTCATCTGTCTCATTTGTTAGTCGACTTAAGAGTGATGATGGAACAATTGCGAAAACGTTTACTTGCTTAAAAATGTACCCCTTTTATTTTTCCTGTCAATTTACATCGTTTTCCCACCACTTTTATGTGGTAGTTTGTCATCAGCGTTTGTGTCACTTGCTGAAAATTCTCCACATAGTTGTATAAAGCTTATCTTGACTTCCCTTGACTTGACTTTAACTGTGTTGACATCTTTTGCATGACAAGCCCGACCTCACTTCACTACAATGGTTGTGTGGTCTGATCAAATTTGGAGCGGTGTAGTCGGATTCGAACCTCAAAAATTATCTATGCACTTGCTTGTTGCATATTTATAGATTAAGTTCTAAATTCCGGATTCAAAAAGCCATATTGATGGTTGTTTCCCTCAGACTTTGGAACAAAGTTCCAATGCAACATGACTACCGTTGTTAGTAATACACTAACCAAAACATAATCAATTGTCATGTTGCACAGGATCTATTAAAAGCTACTGTTACAAACGTCTTAAGCATGAGACATTCTCATTTTCAATCGACATTGATTGTGACGCGACCCAGAGTTGTTTCACGCCGACTAACAAGGGCCTACGTAATCTCACTTGCAAACCAGAGGTATTGTGAGTTTTCGCTGGATGCTACCTAAAGCTACGCAACTAGTTAATATTGGTGTGCTTAATTACTGCATAACCAATTACTCGCGCTGCTTTCCCGAAGCCCAACCATAACACCAACCTCAGAGACAATCATTTACAACAAGGTGAGAAATACAGCTATCTGAATTGCCGACGAAATTCCGTTTACCTCGGAGTCTGCCAACCGTGAAATGTTACTCTAAACCAAGTCACTGTCATCTCCATTTTGCCTAGCTTCAATAAATGATGCATATTATATTTCAGCATATCTACATAAACTGTAACGATCTGGAAAATCCTCCTAATTTTTTTCTATTAATACAAGCAAACTGCACGAGTCTGGGCATTTGTATCTCTAAAAATAGAAACGTCAAACGTAACTGCTCTCCACACTGTTTGGTATTATAAAATTCAATTCCCATTTCCAACCACCGTTTTACAAGTGCGCATTCACAATACCCGCTACTTTGGCTATCGCAACTCTTCACGCCTAAACTGATGAGACGTATATTACTTGAATTGTACTTATCTCCCTGCGTATACTGCGATGTGGGTTGTGCAATTGTGGCGGTCGTGACTCGTCACAAAATAAAGTCACTGCCCCTTGGATATCCGGATAATCCTTTCCAACCCACGGACACGAATCTTCTACTCGCACATTGCTGACTATATCAAACATTCAAGAATGGAGCAGCACAATTACAAGCACAAACTACACAGCTGCATATACACACAATTACATACTTACATACCCCATACAAAACATACACTGTTATGGCACACATATCGGATGTTTGCACATTCTTGAGCACACACTGGTATGTCAAAATGATCATGCCTGTAAAGGCGTGCCTCGCCTTGTCGAGAATGGAATCTTTATTTTTATCGTTATTCTTTTCTACCCGTGATAATCTACTGATCAAAGTTCCCTGCATACAGAAACAAAACACCTAGATGGAGCTGCACTGAGACGGGTAATGAACGACATCACTCTTGCACAAACGGCATAAGCAAATAGGTGTCAGACGCGGAAGTATAGAGCTGGATTGTAATGAGCTTACAAGAAACTGAAACGATTTGTAAGAAGCAGCGAGACATCTTGCGCATTATGAAGTAATGTGATGTTAAGTTCACGAACAAATAGGGCACATAAATTTTCGTAATTTAAACTATTTCAGTACCAATGCGACGGTTGTAACACAACAATTCGAACGTTGGCCGAAGTAACCTCTGCAAGCGTGTTACGCCAAGACGAAAGCAGTAAACAGCTCTGTGTAGTAAGATTATTCGCGGAACCGGAAATTAACGCTGTACATCAAGAAGAGAGCGCAAGGCATTTGGGTCACATGCACACAGAAGCATGTTACCAATCAATGGTTACGGCAAACAACCAACAGCCGTAGTATACCCACATGAACGCACTCAGGCCGTGAGGGCCTGCCAGGAGCATCACTTCCCCATCTGTGGGTTGAGCTGTCCGAAGTGCAATTGATCCACTGGCCGACCTTGGAGCATAAACCGACGTGCAGTGTATTCTAATGAATTATGTACGAATCTAGGACTGGCTACGGTCACATGCTGACGTTCCCCGGCGTGCCACATTGCCAACTGTCCAATGGCGCAAATTACTTTGCCGATCGTGTCGGCAGGGATGACCTGGGACAACGAACCGTGACCTGTGTGTCTACGATCGTAGGGCACACCAAGGGAGCCCAGTCGCTCGGCTGTGAGGAGTGAGAGTTAACCAATGAACAATGAACAATGAATTTATACGGGTTAAGAAGCGTTGCTTTACAAGCCCCGTTGGATATTTGGTGGGGATATCAACATAATAATTATGATGAAAAGGATAGTAAAATAGTTAACACTTTAAATACGAAAATAAGGACTTATCGTTTGCTTCGCTGCAGTCCTGCGATCCACTTAGATTCACAACACTCACAGTTAACAACAAATAATTCCAGGGTAAACTCCAAGTGTAGGATGGAGACATAGTGTTAAGTAACAAAGTGTAAGTGGATGAGTGCATCGTCCAACCGTCTTTTAAATATTGTTAGTGTCGGTGCAGAGACGACCGATTCTGGGAGAGCATTCCACGGGTGACAGACACGGATGGAAAAGAAATTTCTGCGGCACTCCAGACGACTGTATTGTTCTGCGAGTTTTAATGAGTGGCCCCTCAGGTTTGTATTGCTGCTGAGTTGCAGTAAAGGGCGGCACACATGATGTGGGTCTCGCAGAATCAAGTATGTCATAATCAGGTCGCCTCGTAGCCTGCGATAGCTTCCACTGAACAATCCTAGTCGTCGCAGCCTCTCCTGGTAGGACAGATTGCGCATTCCAGTTACGTTCTTAGATGCCCGGCGTTGAGGCTGCTCCAGTGCATTAAGGTCGTGTTTCAGCCATGGATGCCAGGCTTGAATTGCGTATTCGACATGGGGGCGAACATACGCACTGAGCATTTGTCGAAATATGGAGCTGTTTATTTGTCCAAACGCCCGCCTCAACAGCCCAACGTGTTGGTTCCCGGTCTTCGAGGCCTTTTCGGATTGCCTGGAG